CGATCAATCGTAAAAGATCAACGGGACTACTGGCTGAACACGAACAGAGTTAGTAGAGCATAATCAGACCCCGGAAAACCGTAGCGTTATGTTACCGAGAGTCTCCAGGTCACTGACGGGGTGGGTGAACGATCATTTACGCCTGACTGTGAATGCGGTGAGTCCAGAATCAAGGAAAGCAGATGATCAGTGGTGGACATAGTTGTTTGTAAATGCGGTTAATGGGCGGAAGAACGCTGAAGTGGATCAGAAACGACCTGCCACGTGTGCTTGGGCCTAACACTGCTATTTGCGGACGACGCTAAGATCTGGAGAACTGTAATACATCCTGAGGATTATATAGCACTCCAACAAACGATCGATGCAGCCCACCGATGGTCAATCGCCAATGACATCGAGTTCAACATTTCCAAATGCAGAGTTATTTCCATGCGCCATAAGACTCGTTTCTCCTGTTCTGGGGGACCAAATACTACCGCATGCCACAGATGAAAGGAATTTGAGAGTTAAGATACAGGAGGACGTAGGATGTTCCACATATCATTCATGGCTCTAAAGCAAGTTGGACTACTCAGACGTGTTTTCGGGCAGTTCGAAAGAGCATTGTTCTCACGCTTGCTATCAGCGTTTGTTCGGCCACACACGGAGTACACCGTTCAAGTATGGAATCCATGGTTAAACCGCGACAAGAAGGCTCTAGAACGTCCGCAAAGGCTCGCAACGAAATTAGTAAAAGGTCTGTATAACAAGACATACTCCAAAAGACTGCAAATATTGGGACTCTACCCATCTCAATATCGCCGACTTCGGGGGGACCTAATCTTGGCATATCACATACTGCATCAATCCAACCACCCTTGGCGTTCTATGCTGACTTTATCTCATAATGATCACCTCAGGGGACATCCACTAAAGGTGAAAACCCAGAACAGCCGCCTTGATTGTCGGCATCACTCGTTTGCAATCAGAGTGTGCGGCGTATGGAATTCTCTTCCATCCCATACTGTGTATGCTCCTACAGTTGAACTATTTAAATCGTAACTTGACAAATCATTGGAACACTTAAATTTCAACATCCGTGAATGATCATGCAAATTATTATTATTATTATTTTCTCTTTGTGAAGCTATTCAAAACATTCTGTAAAAATCCTAGAGGGGGCATGATAAGCTGTAGCTTTGTTAAAATAATAAAACTTTGACTTTGACTTAGAATAAGACCTGACACACGTGCACGAAGATCTGGTTCAAAGGATTCTTTCCTCTGGGTTTCTTTAGGTTTCTTGATTGGGAACCCGAGGATCAGTCTAATTGACGGTTGGGGAAACAGAGTAGTAAGGCTGTGTTGTAAACAGTAGTGTCCGTGCATTAACTCAATTTGCTTGCATGCTTTGTTTACCTGAAATCTGTATACTCAATCGGATACCGCTCCACGAGCATTCTGACCCTTCCGTTTGCCCCGTCATTCCCACTATCCCCTTTTTCCTTGTAAATCCTTATATATTACCAGTCATATACATATATATATATATATTGCGTTGTAATGGCATGATTAAGATACACTGAAAACGAGCTTGTTTGACCATTTGTGTTCTCCTCCGTCATGGTTTGACCCAAAGAGCAACCGAAAGATAGCAACCGAAACTGCCTCATCATCATTGTTCATCATTGTATAAACTGAAAAATTGGAAACATGTTAAGTCTACTGGATTTGGAACGAGGCGATCTCTATCAACATTAGATTTGGTGTTGACAAGTGATGAGCCTATGTTGGAAACCCTTAATATCACGTGTCTATTGGGAAAGAGATCAAGCGGTTCGACAACATTTACCATGCCTCCGTGAAACGATATCTGTAAAGCAAGACTCGCATTCTTATCGAATCACAAACAAATTGCGGAGATTGCATCAGCCAAGCAATCGATGCGCTCTGTGAAGTTCGCATCACAACCGCGATCAGCCGAGACAAACTAAACTGCTCACCGAATTCGGATCGCGACTATCAGTCGCGCACATCACACCGTCCAATTCGTTTCGAGAATCCGCATCTGTTCCATCTGTTTCGCTGGAATAGGAACTGGAAAGTGCAAACGGATCCATATCGCTTAAACTCATCACATCATCCTCCTCCATGGGATTACCGCTTAACGATTCTTCGTCGTCTCGACTGTCCGCATCGCTTAGATCCAAACTGGAACCGGATGCGTTGTGAGCGGATGACTGACCGAAGAACGCGGCAGCTGACTGCGGTTTATGTCCATTTGGTTTGATTGTCTGAAATGAGGGAAAATTTGATTTGGAAAAAATTATTGCCACTGTTTGTATTTGAAACGGATAGTGAAAAGATACAGTTCGTCAATATCACACAGCACAAATGCTACGGACCGCAAATATGAATATGACAGCACGTACAGTCTGGCGTGCGCCGTAGACCGTTAGATGTAGACTCTTTTTATAACACACCCCGGTGTGATGAACAACAGACGGGGAAAGCCCTATAGTCACGAGAACCTGCTGTTCAATGATGGATACCAGTAACCTAAGCCCCAGAACCTGGAGTGGCGAACCACATAAGTCCCTAATAGGCCAGGCGTGGTATTGAACTGGACGATAGCAATGTTCACTACCACCAACGCTGAATGAAATGGACAACATCGTTAATCTCATTATCATTAACCATTTTTTACTATGAATGCACTACTCAAGAAGTAGTGGACGGCGGTGATCGGGCGGTAAATTCACCAACTTACCACCCGGAGGTCTCGTACACAAACCCCAGCACCACAGTTTAATTTCACTATTTCTTCGCATCGCACATGCTTGTCTAATCAAGTACATCCATCTACGTCAGACAAGATTAGCAGATTGACGTTACCCTGTGAACTATGAGGCGCTGATTACAAAAAATCAACCAATAGACTGAGAGAGAACACGAGGAGAGCGGCTATCGGTAATAGACGCAATCTTATTCGTTTAGTTAGGAGTACAGGACCAAGGAAAGTAGGCGCGAGTGAGGTAATTAAGGAGTGTGACTGCACACTGAACGTTGAGTAGAACATTTTAGGGCATGGTTCAGCTGGCCCCCGTCGACCTCGCCTGCCTGCCTCAACTGTGCAAATACTGCCAGTTTACATCAGTCCTCCATCGAAAATGGAGGTTACCCGAGAAAATATAAGGCTTCCGGTCCCGAAAAGCTGTCCCCATCGGCTTTAAGGATGGAGGTCTAGCCTTGTTTTTGGAGTTAACAAACCTCCTGGGCTCAGTGTGGGAGAGCGAAGAGGTTCCAACTGAATGGCGTGAATCGGTGATCATACCGAGTTACAAGAAAAGTGACAGATCCTCCTGTGAATATCACAGAAGAATTAGTTTAATCAACATTGCTTCTAAACTTCTCGCTAGGATCATATTCCGTCGATTGTCTACCGCACGTGAACGGTGTACGCGTGAGAACCAGGCTGGTTTCAGACTTGGTCGAGGTTGTATCTATCACATCTTTACTTTTCGTCAAACTTTAGAGCACTTTAGAAATTTAGACCCACCATTTTTATCTTCCTCGGTCTGAAAGCGGGTTTCGACTCAGTCGACCGCTCGGGCGCTGCCTCGCTCTAAAGGGTGTGCCCGGGAAGTTTATTTCAATATTAGGATCATTTTATACTAATAACCGAAGCCGAGTCCGAGATAACGGCACTTTTTCACCCGAGTTTTTCACGGAAAGTGGTGTTCGACAGGGTTGCCCTCTCTCCATTCCTATTCAACTTTTTCATCGGTTTGGTTCTTGAAGCAGCCCTATCCTCGTGCGAGGATAGTGGCATCGATTTACTCCCAGGTGGCAGGCTATCTGATCTAGATTATGCAGACGACATTGTGCTACTAAGTGAAGATCCAGGTAAGTTGCAAGCTTTTCGGGATAGTTTGAATGCTAGTGTATTCATGTTCGGCATCCGTTCTGCACCATCAAAGTGCAAAATGTTGTTACGAGATTTGATCGGCCCATCCCGCAACCTCACCTTGACTGGGGAAACAGTAGAGGAAATGGATAAGTTTTGTTACCTGGGGTAAATAGCGCGAAACACAGTGAACCGGATCAATGAATGAGCGCGGTGAAACGTGATATGGCTGCAATCCCATTCCGACCTCATCAACAGATGGCTACATATTATTGTACGGAACAGAAAGGAATTGGATCTGTGACCGAGCCGGTTTTTTATTCAGCAATTCGACATCCCAACAGCATTGACAGGATCACATTTTACTTAGGGTTGGCCATGCAAAAACAACCGGAAAACATGGTCAAGAATATGAAGAACGAAAAATCACAACCACATGGTTGAGCGGAGCGACACCCGTTTTCACGATATGGGTGACACAGTGCCCACAACAGACTGAGGATGAACCTGAACTGNGACAGAGATAAACATCTGTGCCTTACCGTGTTCGACTGGGGCATTCTCCATCCTCTTTCCGTTCAGTTTTAGCCTGTGATCATTGTATACAGAAATCATGGTCACACATATGGAGATAGTCGTAAGGATGTGTGGCAAGCAGGCGCACACCGTGGAGACGCAAGACCCAAACCAGACGAGTAATCGTGTGCGTAAAACACACACAGAAACAAACGAACAAACCAATGCACCAAATACGAATGCATACAATTACTGTCGCTCAAAAACACTTCACTGTGAGGTTCTGGCTCGCACCCGGGGACCGGNTACAAGCGCGATGGATGAGGACAAACCAATCAGACAATCGATTCATCGACCCGTGCGACAGCGGGCGCCTGTGTCGACAGACAAACACCTGGTGCGTGAGTATCGGATCCGAATTGGTTTTATGATGCACGATTCGTGCACACATACACGATAGCGCGCGCACCAGCAAAGTAAGCAGGTACAAACGTAGAAGAAAGTCAACACACGATTACGAAAGTCACAGTCGCCGCGTAAAACCGGAAGAACGGGGAGGGGGTATATATACGCATGTCTACTGAATAGAACAAATCGTCAGAACTGAGCAAGGATTAGTGAAGTGGACAGTAAAAACGGCACATGAAATGCGACCGTTCAATTGGGGTGCGGGGGAGGGGGGGCGCAGCCGATTACGACTGCATAAAACGCTAATGACCAGTGTAACGCTGTGCTGTACTGAGAGCATGCAAAATTTCGTTACCGTAACTAACGTTGTCTGGTTTGAATTTGGCTAATTCTTACTCGTCAATGCAGCCACGTTGCTAGCGGATATCAACTGACGGAGGCTTGCTGGTCTGCAAACTCGTTTCGCTCGAACTGATTGCTTGGGTGCTCCGAACTGCTGAGAAAATGGTCCCGTTTAACCTGCAAGCAGATCGCGCGTGAGTACACATGTATTTCAACAGTCAATCTTTCTTTCGTTTTGACCCGTATGCGTGCGTGATAAAGCAAAACGATCCCCCGAGGTGACCTGTGAACACCCATCTGTAAAACATGACTGGACACTAACCACACACACTGAGATTTTCGGTTTCTTTGATGTAAGAATCTTCATTAAACTTTCGACTGGCATTAAAGGTAAAACAGAAGACGGGAAGAAAAGCTGAAACTATACCAACCATAAATCGGTTTTATGGTCTGCCGTAGCTACTAACAACATAAGGCACCAGAGAGAGGAACCAATTTATCGACCGACACCTTGCATAAATTCAAAACGCTTGCAAACAGAAATACCAAGTTACTGACCGTATTCGATGAATGAACCAGGTTTCGCCTGGNTAAACGTGATCGGTACCACAACAAAGCAACTATGTACGGTATGCGGCAGCACACTCCTAAGCATGTGCGTTTCGTGAGAAAGGACGATGCATCGCCATCTGATTCGTCGTGCACTCGTGGAAGATTCGCTAACACATGTTTCCCAAAATGGGAATAAAATCAGCGGCTCAATTGAAAGAACTACGTTATCAGACAACAAGCTGGCATTTGATGTTTGTTTGCCAATCCTGTGCGATTTCGACTCAGGCGCAAATACCGACTCCATAAAAATTCAATGGGTAACCAGAACGTTGCGTGGGACGGCGATTGTTGCGGCGAAATTTGGCATTCAGTGTGNGTGTCGCTGTCAGTCAGAGATGGGGAAACCACGATTTGAGGAGAAAAAGAAGCTGCCGTCGAATGATGTGAAAGTAAGCTCTTTACTGTACGCCACTGATAGACAAAAATGAGTTTAAAACTTCAATGTTCAATTTACTTGGATATTCATCACTTTGCACGTTTTGAGACGGTTTTATGGCCGTTTTCGGCTGCTTACATGGTCAGCCAACGAGAAAAGAGCAAAAAGAAGAGTTGAAAAGCCGAGAGCAGTATTAAGAGCAAACCTACATGATGAAATGCGTGACACGTGCCCCACACGCCTTATCCCATGGAAATCAAAAACCTCGAGCTTCAGTAACGGTGATTGACTAAAACTATTCACCTAACCTCGGTATCGCTTGTCCCGTTATCCCACGAAACTTGTGCAATGTGGGACAGGCAGCAATATTTGCAATCCGCAAATCTGCATTGAGCCTCTTCCCATATATCTGCAACATATAGAAATAAGTACAGCAGTGTGCACTGGACACTTCGAGGACAGTCTGGTTTCCTAGTGCGGTGTCATAAAATGTTTCTCGCGGCCTAACACCACTCGAGCTTGCTGTTTGAGTGTGCATTCCGACATACCATCTGATAGTCCAATACTAACAGGGATATCATCATCAGCGTCAAACTGCAAAGTAAAGTGAAGTGAACCTCACTGATTACTGTCAAACTCACAAAGCATACAAGGCAAGTGAGAATATGTACATCGGACAGGGACCGAACCAATTTTGAGGAAGAAGGGGTGAAGAAAATAAACCTCTGTAGTGAACACAGGCAGTACACAGTCCAACTGCGCACAGACACACTTTTCAAGCATGCTGGTGTGATAAGGACACCACTGCTTCCGGTTTATTGTTATGTCCTTTAGTGTTTCCAAACAACAGTGATATGGTTTCTCCGACTGTGCGATATCGTTTCGTTCGTTAGGGTGAAATCAAGTGGTCTAAATCTCTGCCACTGATGTGCTTAAGCACTACGGTCCAAGGATCGAATTCTGCAACTGCTACCCGACTTTGGTGCTAAGCTGCTTCGCTGTTGACCGTCTATCTTTTGTGGTTCGCCACACCAATCTCCTACGACTTAAGTTGTCCGTGATCATGAATGGGTTTTCTTGACTAACTAGTCTACCCATTCTGTTGTTTACGAGACATTGAAGCGAGTGATTGAAAACTGGACCAGTGACTGTTTGAATGTGCAAAACACATGCCAAACGTGGCGGCAGCAACAATCATGAAAACCGGTTGCAACTCACCTCTCGTTAAATAGCAGCTTCTTTTAGGTATTTTACACACACACACACACACGCACACACACACACACACACTGGAGAAATTACATTATCTTTTCGTTTGCGGTCGAAGTAGTCTCACAGGACCATTGTTAAGGAAAAGCAAGCCAGTGATTCGCTCCGCCCAGTCTCCTCCCACTTAGACAACCAGCACAACCATTCAAACGGGACCGCTCCAAAAACACGTCTAAACCACTTGCATGGATAAGTGTGCGCCTAGGAGTGCATGTGAACAAGTTAGATGTAAACAGAAATGAAACACGGATCAAGGCAATCGCCGACATTATGAATGATCATTGTTGTCATCGGGAGTGATAGCAATTCGAAACGAACCTGATCGGAATCACCAAGCAACCAGCCGGTACGCACAAGTGCAGTTTGTAACCAGGCGTAATGATCACGTCGAAGAGCGACAAAATCCGGGTGGCTCAGGGCATCTAGTTTGGTACCGGGTGATGGTCGAAGCACATTCACTTTGTCCCGGAGTTGGTCCCGAATGAACCCGCGTAACATGCGGAACGAGGCGCGAAACCAGAGCGGAGCGGTAAGTATCAGGACACGACGTAACCGGATCGGATAGCTGAACTGTTTCGTATGTGTGTGTGCGCACGCGCGCATGAGTTTGATCGGGCGACAAAAGTGGACCAGAGGTGATGGATAAACGGAGAGGGCGGGGTGCATAGACGAATAAGTGAAGGACAGGATAGAGGGAACAAGTGAGAAAATATCAAAACAAATGTACGTATAAAGGTGGGACCTCGGCTGATCGGCACAAACAAACCACATTAGATGAACAGTAATCGATCGATCAATCGACTGATCGACCCAGTGCACGAAAGGCTGCTACTGTGACAAGTGTGCGCGTAACACTTATCAGACATTGAATCGCATGGACGGAACAAACAAGAATCCCTTTTAAATACAAACTGAGACAGGAATAAGTTTAACGGGTATGTACGAATCAAATGCATGAAATTATGTTCAGTTTGGGAGTGGGCAGCAGTAGTGTCACCCGCGCCATTGCCACGCCTCTCCTATTGCAGTCTTATGTGGTAGTTCACCATTGCAAACTTAGGGGATAAGATTGCGTGC